GTTCCTCTCATCACAACCATCACAATCTCCTTCTCCTTCTTCACAATCTTCCTTCTAATTATTTCTTCTTCTTCTTCTTCCTCATCATCATCAATCTCCCACAAAGAAAAGTCCATTTCTGTTGATTCTTTAACAACATAGTTTCAACTTGTTCCATAACTGGTAAGGCCACCCTTTTCTCTCTCATACATTAAGTTTGGTCTAAAAGAAGAAATGAAACCAAAGTTTTCTCTTTTTGTTTATTTGTGTGATCAAAAGGGAACTTTTAAAGTCTCATAAAATTTGTTAACAAAAATTGATTTTTGTTTATGAGCTTTTTTAACTGTGCTTTAATAGCTGGGTTTATGGCTTCCCTTCATTGTTGGAGTGAATCTTGATGCAATTGTAGTTGCAGAATCAGCATCAACTTTTGATCAGTATCTGAGAAGCTAGCGGGCAACGAGAAGCATAAACAAAGGAACAAAAGGAAGAGAAAAAATTAATTTGGGTTACATGGCTAGAGAACTCTGTGAAGATAAATCAAGGAATATGGTCTCATCAACTGGTTTTTGTTACTCAGATGTTTCATCTGGTAACTCAACCATGCAAACCCATCTGGTGAATCAGATCCAAGGCTTTGAATCCAACCCAGAGATCTTCAACTTGACAACAGGCATGGAGATGATAGGGTTTTCAAAGAATCTACAGCAACAAGGTGATAGCAACACGGTCATGTGGAAAGGGTTCTTCAACAAACATGGAACCAATCCTGGTCCTTCTTCTTCGAAGACAATCAGTGAGTCAACAAGCGATTTCTATCAACATGACTTCCACAAACCTGAGTTCACAACTGGGATATCTGAAACTAGTACAGAGAATCTTATTGTTGGACCTGAGTCAGCTCCTTGGCAAGAGAACAGGTTGCTTGTTGATGATTCTTCTTTGAGGTGTGTTTTTCCTTGTGAAGGAAACGAGAGGCCAAGTCAAGGTCTTTCACTCTCTCTTTCATCAAGCAATCCTAGTAGTATTGGGCTACAGTCTTTTGAACTCAGACAAACCAGTCACAGCAATCATGATCAGCAAGATGATATGAGGTTTATTGGTTCAAGTTCTAGAGATGGTTTCTTTGGCAAGCCTGCAAATATTCAACAGCAACAACAAATGATCCAAGACGGATTTCTGGGAAAAGCTGCAAATCTACATCATCAAGGGCTGTTCCAACTCAGGAGTTCAAAGTACTTGGGTCCTGCTCAGGAACTTTTGAATGAGTTTTGCAGCCTTGGAACAAAGCAAATCGATGCATCAAAGCAAAAGCAGATCCATAAGACCAAACAGTGGGATGATGAGAATGGAGCTAGCTCTTCAAGGAAGCAACCCCTTTATTCTCTTGACTTCATTGAGTTACAGAAAAGAAAAACCAAGCTGTTTTCAATGCTGGAAGAGGTATGATATAAGTGTTTCAGTTTCAACTTCCCATCTTTTCAACGAAGGAACATGTTTTTTCTTTTATCCAAATTATGAAAAATGAAGTCTTGAAATTTTACTGGGTGGTTGATTGAAATGGGGGTGTCCAAATTTCGTTTCTTGAACTAATTTAGTGACTTGGGGCCTCCCCATAAATGCCCACATCGTGACAATTTTTGCTTTTCATTAACTTTCAGAAACCTCTATTCCTTTTCTTTTCATGGCATCTTATTTTTCATCTTGTTACTCTGCCTTTGTATGTATTCCATGCTGTAACTCTCATTTCTTTTCGTTAACATGTATGAAGAGAAAATTCAACTCTCACTCCTATCCCTTTCTATCTTCATGTGTATCTTTAGGTGGACAGAAGATACAGGCACTACTGTGATCAAATGAAAGCCGTGGTATCTTCCTTCGAAGCTGTGGCTGGCACCGGCGCAGCATCAGTGTATTCAGCGTTAGCCTCCAAGGCTATGTCAAGGCATTTTAGATGCTTAAGGGATGGGATTGTTAGTCAGATTCAGGCTACAAGGAAGGCCATGGGAGAAAAAGACCCAGTTGCACCGGGCACAACGAGAGGCGAAACACCAAGGCTAAGGGTCCTTGATCAAGCTTTGAGGCAACAAAAGGCTTTTCAACAGATGAGCATGATGGAGAGTCATCCATGGAGACCCCAAAGAGGCCTGCCAGAAAGATCTGTTTCTGTTCTTCGAGCTTGGTTGTTTGAGCATTTTCTTCACCCGTAAGTATCTCTCTTTCTCTCCACCTATCATCCTCTCTCTTTACAAGATACAAGGTTTTTTATACGTAAAATACAAAGTAGATTTTGTGAGGGAACCAATGTTTTCTACTAACCAAAAAAAAAAAAAACAACTCTTCAAGTTGTTATAGTCCAGTAAGTTTCTCTTATGTTGAGTCTCAATCATTTTGCTTGCAAAAGCAATGTAGTCCTTGTTAGTTTCTACCCATCCCCATTCAGATTCCACATTTTATTTTTGTCATCTTACTTCAATCATTTAGCTTCTTTCCCCCTATATATTTGCTTGGTCAGCTTCTCTCTGTTATTTTTATGCGGATTTGATTCTGTCAACATATATATCTAGGACCCATCTTTCCCTCACGAACAAGTTTCCAAAAGTACTCTCCATGGCTGCATAGCTTCAATACTAACTCCGTGATTTCCATGACAAAACTTTTGCAGGTATCCAAGCGATGTTGATAAACATATCTTAGCCCGCCAAACCGGTCTCTCGAGAAGCCAGGCATGTCCACATTCCCCTCTCTATATATTTTTATTCGGCCCCCATGAATTATTTTATATTATCAATGGAGCATGTCTTGTTTTGATCTTAAGTTATTATAATCATATGCAATTATTGTATTTCCATCATACCAAAATATATTTCATCGTATTATATAATAATATGATATGCCCTTTGTATTTACTCGTTTTCCAATAGGTATCCAATTGGTTTATTAATGCGAGAGTGAGGCTATGGAAACCAATGGTGGAAGAAATGTACTTGGAAGAAATAAAAGAGCACGAAAACAACATGGCCTCCTCGGATGGAGCTACTGATGGTGACGACAATGGCCGGCCTAATCAAAACCCTCCCACAGATCAGAAACCCACCCCGGACCAGCTCGTTCGAGTCGATTCGGAATGTCTGTCTTCCATTGTCACTAACCCAGACAAAAATGATGCGAAAAGTGCTAAAACCCTTCAAAACCAGCACTTGCATCAGCCACAAAATTTTGGAACCTACGGTGCTATGGAGTTGGACTTCTCTTCCTACAGTCATCACACGGCGGGTGGGGTATCTTATGGGAGTGACAATGCCAACCAAAATTTCAATGGCGGCGGTGTGTCATTGACGTTAGGGTTGCAACAGCATGGTGGGACTGGGGTGAGCTTGGCCTTCTCTCCCGCATCTCAAAGTTCTCTCTTTTACCCTAGAGACCACATTGAAGATTGTCAACAAGTTCAGTACTCACTTTTAGATGGTGAGGGACAGCATTTGCCTTACAGGAACTTGATGGGGGCACAGTTGCTTCATGATTTGGCTGGATAGAAGGGGGAAAAACAAAGAAAGAAAAAAAAAAAGACTCAATCAAATTGTTGGTGGGGTTCATTATTCTCATCGAAGGATGGTAATATGGTAGATAAATAGTTTAGGTGGCATAGATAAATACTGAATACATATAAAATATCTATATACGTAAAGCTACACTTGTTAATTTAGTTATACTATGAACATTAGTTCAATGGCTGGTAGTTCTTTTTCAATTGGAAGAACATATGTTTATTTACTGCAAGTCTAATTTGGGATTTGCCAGTTATTGATGCAAGGGTTATACAGATATTTCTTTCCTCTTCTGGGTGGAATCTGTTTTTGCCAAAACTTTAGCCTATTATATCAGTTGTTAGACCCTTCCTCCCTCTCTCTCTCTCTCTCTCTGTGCCCAAGCTAAGTGATTGAGTCGTTTGTGGTTCTTGTTTCAATTGGAACTTTAAATATTTTCTTTTGGGGCTCATCTAGATATTTTTTTCCCTTTTCTATAAAGACAAATTAATTTAGCAACACAATTTGGTTGGGGGTCCTTAGTTTTGGAGATTAAGACAACTCCCCCATAAGAATTTACAAGATATCGTGATCGTTTCAATTGCTGTGGTCCCTAATTCATCTTCCTGAAGATGATATTTCATGTCCATGAGAATTGCCTGCTTTATGATTTGTCAACTTTGGCATGGTTTATGCTTATGCTTTTGCCTGTGTAAAGGTGCCTTCACTAACTTCCTTTTTAGATAGTGTGTACAAGCTATTAGGTTTTTCCCTCTAGGATTATCTCTCTTTTTTCTTCTTCTTCCATTGTTCAGAAACAAGTTTTACATAAAGGTTAATTAATTGAAGAACCCCAAATGAATTCCCATCATTTAATTATAAGCCCCCTACACAGCAGATAAACCCAATGCCAGAATCTACTTTTAGTTGTGGTCTACAATTCATAGCTAGATATGTGAAAACGGTTTTAATAATAGAGGAAGAACTTATTGTGTCAAGATTATGCCCTAAATAACAAGTACACCCCTCTATCTTGCGTAATATTGGCTTAAACAAAATAGGCAAAGTAATCTACTAAAAGCATGAGGGAATAACCTAACATAACTAGATGCATCTGATCACCCAATGCATGCCATAAATGCCCATTTAATTTGCTTCAAAATTAAAAGTGAGAACAAGGAAAAGAATGGGTCAGTACCATTCCAGTGATTGCATGCATGTAATAGTTCATAATGACTGCAATATTGATATGCTGCATAATGTTTTAATCATTTTGCTCAATAACCTTTCAAAATAAATAAAAAGTTTTAATATCATTCTTGTAAATTGTGAGCAAAAATAATGATAAAAAACGCATGCCTAACTTGGCTTTTCATGTGAAGGTGACATCCTGAAAAAGCATTATTCTTCCCATGGTTTGTTTTGGGCAAAAAAAGAGAGACTCCATGTTTTCCTTCTTTACCTTCAAATGGTCATGGCGGTTGCTGGGATTTTTAGAAAGGAATAAACCTTGATATTCTTTTATGACATGTTTTAGTTGCAAATAATAAGGGTTACAAACGTATTTAAAGATATCGTGTTAGCATAATTTCTGCAGTCACAGTTCAAACACATATTTTGGAGGGATATTTGCAACTGAAAAGGACAGACTTCAATTCCTGTTTTTTGCTGATAGAATGTTCTTGCTTTTTTCTTTCTTTCTCAAAATTTAAGGGAATCTTTCCAATTCTCTGAGAGGGGAACAATGTGATTTAAATCCATAGCTCTCTGTCAGCCTGTCACAGTTCCAAGGCATGCCAAAACATCCCACCTTTGTTCTCTCTCATGGATTACCAAAGGGTTTCAATGTCTAAAAAACGAAGATCATTTGAGTGTAGGTGTGGTCAAAGCCGGCCCTGGTAAACTCTGCCAGCAAGTGTATATATTTGGGTTTTATTTAAGACTTTGAATGCATGCAGCAGTTCTTTGTCAAACATTTCTACCATTATTTCATATATGCTTCCATGCATATCCCACATAAATAAACCTAGTTAGGTTGCACTGGGATTTGGTGTCCTCCATCCTAGGCTTCGATCGAAATGTTGCTGATGCTGGAATTAAATGCACCATTTCCTCAACTACGTACCTAGTTATATATGTATGTGTGTGTATATATATATACACACACTTTGAGCCTATGATTATCATAGATAAAGGGGTTAATTTATGCAAAAGCAATAGAAGCTTTTCCCATTCTGTTCCCTCATCCTTCCACTTGTCAGCCAACTTGGTATATATTATATTCTTGCTGAATGTTCTCCAACAGGAAATTCTGTGTGAGCTTTTTTCCTCTCATTGTGCATGCGCCATTTGCCATGTTGGATTAAACAACTTATTGATTCTATTGGTTATAAAACTGTTTCTTTTTCCTCCTTTCTGTCCAATAATTGTTGACAAGCTTTTACCTAAACATTGTACGAGAGAGGAGAGTGCATTAATGTAAGTTACAACATGGTGCATGCAACAAATAGCTAGCAGAGTGTATATATGTATGTTCGTAGTGTAAAATATTGCTTTCTTTAAAGCCAAAAGAGGAAAATACTTGGAGATTGAAACTCTTGGCCAAGGATCATTAATTACACCAGATGATTAAACCAGTAGGGTAGAACAACTTATTTCTTTATCAATTGAAATCTCTTATCCCCCCGGTGGGAAAGGGGGTCGAGGTCCTCCACGAACATGTGATGGGCTTATCAGTTGGACCAAAACACAGGATGGACCACATTAATATGCCCAGCTGCATGTACTGTGCTTTTTGCATTGATCAATGCAAACCCACCTACCCAAACAGAAGAGTTTTATTCAGGAAAAGGAAAATACTATGAATCTGCAACTTTGCCTTATAAGTATTCCAATGGCTGACATTCAATCTGGCGGTTGATTCAGTTTGTCATTTTTAGCACCACTTTGCAACTTCAGGTTTCTAAGAAACCCCAAGGACTTTGGGCTTTTGGGTCCAGAAATAAGTAAATTGTTTGGGCTTTTGGGCACACCATGTTGGGTCAAGAAGCCTAATGCTTCATGGGTTTGTGCTATAGACCCAAACACAAAAGAGATGGGCCCTTCAAGGAAAAATCTAAATGGTCGAGAAGACCATGTCAAACCTGTTGGGCCTTAACATCTCTTTCACCCGTTTTCTTTATTCACGTGCAGAAAGCAACATTAATGGGGAAAAAAATATGAGAAAAGGAAACTACCGACATTTAATAATATTAAAAATAAATATGTCCATTTAAGTTGAAATTGATGTGATTGTTAATACGAAAATAATGACTTTCAGGTCATAAATGTGTAATACGTGATTGTGTTACAACTCATATTTTTAATTTAAAAAACATATTTATCAAATAAAATAAAACTCTTACTTGTAAATTTACCTAACCTTTTACTTATTTATAATATTTTTGTTGTATTGATTATTTCGGTTATAAAAGAGACAAATTCACCATGACTCATATCTACTTCTACTTTTAATGTCTTTCATAAAATTACCCTTAAAAAAATTTTTAATTATAAACTTAAGATTTACTCTTTGATAAAAGAAAATAAATAAAATAAGAAGAAACAGTATAATAATTTCTCAGTAAATTGCGTTTTTCTTTTTTAAAGAAATTACTTTTTAACTCCAACAAAAGAGCCCAGCACAGCGCCTAGTGCCTACTAAGCAACAAAAGAGTTGATGAGCATCAACAGAACAGCATTAGCATCATCAGCCATTTGATGATTTGATCATGCGGTGGACCCACCGTACTGCCACCTCGATCTACGACATTTCCTTGTCTGTATCTCCCTCCATCCATGGGATCCAACAATCCCCAGGTGGGTGGGACCTCCCACAGTTTTCCCTACGGTCGGTTCCATTGGTTTACCTTCCTGTCACCTTGTCACTGAACGACGTTATCAAACTTTGGGCTCGTTCGTCGCCGTTACAGATAGGGATGGCACCGACACTTTTTTTGAGGCCAGTTGGCCTCATCATTCCACTAAACTTGATTTGATCAGCGATTGAGCCAAATAAAATGCCTACTTAGGCAAATCTTGTATACGTTATAATGGTGTGGACCTACTCCAAATGGAGAAACGTCCCCATGCCTACATCCAAACTACCCTTTACTTTACTCTCTTTGTTTTGGGGAATTTGGAAGTAAATTACAAGGCCTATTTAATTAGCTCAGGAAAGACCGTCATCAATCAAATGCTGCAATGTCTATGTGAGAATGTTTTGGTAAAAGGAAATGTTACATGGCTTTACAATCCTCCACCTTGTATTATGGTATCAACAAGTTGGTCCTAAATTTAATCTCAAATAATTTATTATTCATGATCAGCAATATCATATGCAACCTTACAAAATTCTAACTTGTAAGAATCTTTGACAAATGTTCTTTGTGAAAAACAAAGATCTACTCAGGATAGGAGAATTTCCGATGGGTAGTGAACTCTTGATTTTGTTCTCACTATAAGAATTATAGTATTAAAATATTAAAGGTAATCGATATAAATAAATAATTCTAGAATTGCACACGACCCATCTTGCTAAGTATTTTAATTGAAAAGGGGCCCTTGGATGTTGGAAGCGTGGATAAGCACTGAATAAACAGTAAATAATCAAACAGATACCTCGTCATGTTGGGTCTTAATATGAGCAAGACCCAAGACCCCAAGAGGACAAGACAATTAGATATGATCATCCTAAGTATTAGTATTTAAAAATAAATAAATAAAAATTAAGAAAGCATAATGAAAACTGCACTGGTCCTCAGAATGAGCAGATGGACCACTGTAGATTCTTCAGGGCGCGATCATTAATATAGAGTCACAGAACCATGTCCTCAGGCTAGCAAAAGGGTGAGCTTTTCTTGGATCAAGGATCTAGTAGTGATGATACTGCATCCCGTGGTTATGGACCACCTCCTCCAAGCTCAAAGTACCCTTGCCTTGATTCCTTCAATTCAGTTCTTCACTTACGACAGCAAAAATTTACATGATCGTGTTGCATTACTGGCTCTCTGCCTTCACTGCTCTTTTGATCCTAACTCTCCCTTTCAGATTCAGAAAAGTACTGCACAACCCAGTAACTTTTAAGGAAAATTATGTGTGTACACTCGGGGATGAATTCCTACCAGTTACTGCCACAAACACCAGACATCCATTATGCGTGGCTCTCATCTCCTGGAATGAACTGGTCGTGGGCCGCAGAAGTAATATCACGGGAGTACTGTCGTCGTATTTTGAAACTGTGTGCGTTACACTTTGAACCAGGGTTACAGTCAGGGAGTTTTGAGTTGTTTAATTTAGGTGAACACAAAGAGCGATGGTTGACTTCTGAGGAGCACCATTGCAGGCCGGTAAAAGCCTCTTTGCATAGTTTCCTTTGATATATTCTTTGGTCTCCTTCCTCTCTCAGCATCAGCATATCATTTATTGTGTTTCAAATAAGCACGTCATCATTAATCCGTAAATTACTACTATTCTTCTTAATTTGTTTGTTACTGACTTGTTCCGTTCATTAAAGAAATGATTCTGGTCGCTTGATGCTTCAGCAAGGCATGCTCTTTGACCTTTAGGTTGTTAAGTAAGCCCTATTGACCTTTAGGCCATGCGATATGGATCACAGTGGGGGATGAGATAATTCCGTACTCCTATTGAGAAAGAAACAGAAGAGTGATACCAGACTAAGATATGTATTAAAGTTGTATGGACTTTTTATACAACATACATTTTGCTTTTTGTTTCCCTAATGACAGTCTCTACTCTTGCAGACAGATACAAAATTGGAGACTTGGGGGGTAAATTAAGAAAAAAATTAGGAATGACAGTGATCAAGGGTGAAAGAAGAAAAACAAGAAGCTAGCACCTAAAACAATCAACTTCAATCACTATATTTCACTGACCTCACCATCCTTACATACACCCACATTCACCACCATGGTTCCTTGCCCCTTCGATTCCATGACCCTGCAACAGTTTCTTCTCGGCGACTGCCAGAAAGATAAAAAGGCCATGTCATATTTTTTTACTAAACAAATACGTTACCCTCTCTCTAAATAACTGAGTTCAGAAGTAGAAAGCTCCAGGGTAGGTGATTAGGAACAGCCTTCCCTAGATAAACCTATACCAATGAGTTTTTGATACTTGATTGACTAGAGATCAAATTGAACTTTTTTATGTACAATTGCAAATAAAGTAAAAAAACAAAATGATGCTGAAGCAGCTTACTCTATCCCATAGATGTGGGTCAGGTTTCTTGTTGACAATCACCGTATCAAGCTCAGCAGGATCAGCCATCTTCCATCTACAGGGAGGGTGAGGAACACGGTGCCGCTCATACTCACTCACAGTCTGATTTAGTTCAGAATCCGTTCTCACCCTTGACATGTAAAACACAAAAGGTTTTTGGCATGGATTTCGGCTAACAGGACGAGTGTTGAATGCATATGCCGTGTAATCTGCTCTCCTGTACCAATTCAAGAATGTTCTCGAAGGCATTTCCATCTCCCTAGGTGAAAAGATTCCTCTAAAAATTTGAACAGCAAAACCCCATGAAACTGAAATGGTCCAACTCTTAGTTTTGTCATAGCAGATGGACTGCTGCATGATCCCTGCTGAATCCAGCTTTGAAGGTAGCATAAGCCGCTGAAGGGCTTGAACCCTGGTCACATTGGGGAAGATAGGCTCAACAACATCAAGGTGATGCAGTGACACCAATGGCGTAACAGGATGTGCAGCAAGGAGTCCAAACAAGTTCCCATACACGTCATACTGATTGCCATAAAACCAACAAGAAACACATAGAATCAGCAATTGTTTTTGAATGACAAATTCTCAAGTACAAAAGTCATAGCATTATAAGTTAGTGGAAACGTTGTTCCTGCAATGAAGCATACAGCTTCAGCATTAACAATGAACACCTAATTGGAATTGAAAATTACCAGGAAGGCCACTTTCCTCATAGACAATGACATCCAATCTACTAAATGCACACGATACAAACAACTGACTCGCGTGCTCCACCAATATTATATATGGGGGTTGGTATGCAGGCCTCACACATAATATACAATGTAGAAACTCAATTCATCATACCAATTCAAACCAATCACCGCACACACTTGGATAAAACGATCACGTCCTATCTCGTAATTTAGTCAAATGACAGTTTTAATCTAGTGCACCTATGAGCTAAACATGTAATTAGCAGTTCATAAGATATTTAGCCCCAACAACAAGTGCAGCCAATAATTAGCTTGACTAACTAGGGAAAAAAAAATCATGAGGCCACGGCAAAAAAATCATTGCCGCACAAGGCTCCACCAGTTGAAAACACGTACGACGTCACTCCCACCCCAAGGGGCCACACCCTCTCGACGCTGTTCCCTCTTACAGTCAAAGGAGCGTGACAGCCACGTACTAAACTAGGCGCTTGAGCAAAACCCAACATAAATGTGACAAAACCGGGTCCAAACCCTACCAACACCTGGGTTCCACCGCCTCACCTACGGCTACGAACCACGGGTACGGACGAAGATCAAGCGTCGAGCTAATCACCCGTCCCAGGTCGATACACCAAAATTACGGTCAATAAAACCACAACTTCAGCGCCCATTAATCTCATTCTCGTAACCGAAATTTAACCAATTCGGGAGGAATAAAGTCCGCTCTCGCCCCCTTTTCCATGCTATTAGTACTATTAACTTCATGAACACCAGTAGCATTAAATACAATCCAGATTAACTACCCCAACATAATTAGAAATATTTATACCAGTAACATTGATGTTGGTAAAAAAAAAAACCAATTCCAGAAAAAGCTAGAAACCCTCAAAATAATGCACTTTAACTCAGAAAGTGACAAAATTGAGTCACCGACCTGGTGGAAACCGAGTTCCTTAGTGAGTGGAACACCGAGTTCAGCCATACAAGCCTGCATTCGATCATCGGAGCCGTACAATCCGGGGTATCTCTGAATACACCGGTCTTGCATCTTTGCCAAAGCCTTAGCCAATGGGTAGCTAATGCGAAGCCGCCGCCGCCGTAAGCCATGCCGTACGAGAAAAAATGTTCTGAATATGAGATTCCGACAAGCTCCCTATGTAATAATACTGGGTATGATCATATTTCCTTAAGATCCTAACCAGATTATCCGTGATAAAAACGGTGTCGTCGTCACCCATCACGAACCACCTGACGTTATCCATCTTGAGCCTCAACGTCTCCGTCACGATCCGCGAGATCCGAATCGCGGACCGGTGACCTTGCCGGTTCGTGTACGCGAAGTTGGAAGTGTCGCTGGAGACTCGAACCGGTGGAAGGGTTCGCTTGTCTTCGGGGGAGTTTCACGCGATCATCGAGCCAAACTACGCCTCGCATTTGGTTTGGCTTGTACCAATCTTTAATGTACTTTTCCTCTGCTGCCATAGCTTGGAAGAAGCTGCGATTCCAAAAACCACGTCGTGAATTTCAGTCAGGTTTGGTTTGGGTGGAGTCCGTTGTATTTGTACTACCACTGGTTTTTCTCGGACATCTCGATGGTGAAGGCGTGTCGTTGTCTCAGACGTTTTATTGAGACTCAAGTGAGGAGATGTCAAGCTTGTTTTGTTGGGAAAGTGTGAAGAGCGATGGAGAGTAGCAGTAAATGGGGATCGTCACACGTTTGTTGAGCCGAAGTTGTTAAGAGGTTAAGAGTGTACATAACGTAGGTAACCGAAACGAAGAGGATTAACCAGACCATGAGCTTGGGAATGGGTCGAGCTGAGGGTCCAGGAACAAGCGGGTTGCCTGATGCGCTTCTCATCTGAATCTGATCCCACACCACTTTCTCTGAATCTTTCTTGCTGTCTTTCATTTTGTTTTTCTTTCTTTTTTTTAGCACTGTTCAGCAATTACAGATTCTTTTCTGTTACATGTGCTGTTAGATTTCGTTGGAGAATCTAAAGTGGGGGGGCTTTGTTAAATCTGGCAAGAGAATAAGTAAATGTTTCTAGTTTCAAAGATCAGAATGTACGCCAGGGAAATCAAAATGAAATTTGGGGTTTAGGACAAAATGGAGACAAGTGAAGAAGATGGAGAAGATGAAAAGAAAAGGAGGTGACTTGTTTCAGAGAAGTAAAGGGGCTCGCTTGCATTGTTGCCGGGTTGCAAACCACCCTGAATGAGAACTACCCCGAGCAAATAAACATATTTATGTTGTTTTTGGGTCTGAAGAGAATTTTTTTTTTTTTCTTTGGGTGTGGTTCACTGAGATTTGTAGAATCATGTGAGCGAGTTAGATTGTAGTAATGTGGTCCTAGATCTGGCAGGTAACCCCACCTTGTTTTCCAAGGCCGGAAATAACACGTATCAGCCAACAATTGGCTACAGAAGAAACAAGAGGATTTAGGGCAAAAATGCGCGTAATTTGCAGGGTTCGTTCATCCCTGTCATCTGGGCCAAATATAAAAGCAGACTGCAACAAAAGAACAGCTTGAATTGATTTTACGTGCACAGACTCTTAGCAAGATCCGTAACGTTTTGTTTGCGGGGAAATTTTGTATCTCTCTTGTCCTATATTTTTCGTGATGAGGAATTGTTGGTCAGATAGGAAGGGAGAAGATGAATTCCAAAAGAGAAAGATTTTGCCGCGATTTCAAGCCAGAAGAAGAGAAGAGCAAGATGAAGAACAAAAACAAAAATGGGTTGAGTTGCAGAGATAACCAGCAATATGCATTTAACGGTTTTGTTTTCTGGAATTTCCTTTGTTTTGTCTTGTGTTTTTGAGTGATGGGAATTCCACCGGCTTGTTGATAAGAGGAAAAAAATTTATACTAAAACCAAGAAGAGAGAGCAAAAACAGATCAGACCCAAGTTTGGGGAGGTCTTTCTCTTTTCTTTCTTTGCCTTGTATTTTTTGCATTTAATCCTTTCTCTTTATCACAGTGAGATTGCACGGAATTTCCTTCTTTGTCTCAAAGAAACTCAATCTCATAGCTCAATAGATGGTAGCCAAAGCCATCGACATGCTCATATGTTTTGAAGAATGAAAGGTTGTAAGTTTAGATGGAACATAATGGGATATAAAGAGAAACAGATCGTTTGCGTAACTTACCATGATATGATTTGGAATAAGGAAAACCTATCTCGAGGATGCAAAACTTTGTTGCAATGATATAATTGTTTATCTTATACATATTTAGCAAAAAGAAAAGGGAATCATCTAATTAAGCAAATCCCTTTCCCATGGCACATGGGGAAAATGATTCTTCAATTTACCATCAAGTTTTATTTAATTTTAATTACATCACGATGAGGGATATGGTTAAATACTATGCCAAAGGTAAACTGACATGGGTTTACTTTTTCTTGAGGATATGATGTGGCTTTTATTTATTCATACTCTCAGTCCACTACTTACTTCACTGTGTGACATTCGTAATTTGACTTTTACCTTAGTACAAACAATAGAAAAAAGAGAAATTAAAATTTGTACCTTAATGCAATACTTTATAGCACTGTCTTTTTGCTTTCCTGTCTTTTGTTTGTTTGTTTGTTTTTTCATATAAAGGGTATAAAATATGAATAATAGCTTTCAAAGAGGGTAGGGGTAACCTAATAATTTACATGTACAAACCTTCGCATTAAGGATAATTAAAATGTGTCGGTTTGGTCGAGTTTGTCAAGGCCCAACCACCCAGTATAGCATCGAAATAATTGAAGTAGACCGGTCTCTTGTTTTGCGGGATTCATATAGAGGGGATGATTTCTTAATCTCGCGTGAGTAAGAGGACCATTTGGATTAGCTGGACCTTATAATTCTTTGGGTACTTGTTCAAAAATTTCTACTTAATTGATCTAAACCGTCCTAAATTCTAACGCCCTGAGTTATATGAAGGGGTAGTGAGTTAATGGAGGAAACTGAAGAAGTGGAATCATATTTTGTTGGCCTTAGTTTGACCCCTGGTACTGAAAATCCTTTATAAAAATAGACTGGGCATCGCCCTGCTCCAAACTGCAGCTCAGAAATGATTGGGAAAACTTTATGTCAATTGACTTTCCTTTTAACTAACTCGTTCATAATTTCTGCAAGTCTACACCAGCTCAATTGCGCCAAGACTTTTTAATATGGGAGAAAGTTTCCCGAGAGGTGTTTCCGAGTTCCTGATTATGGATTTTCTATGGTTAGGTTAATCAAAGAGTCAAATAACTAAACTGATAGACTGTATTAGATTATGAAGGGAAACATTCTTTGGAGACGAAGGTAAGGTGATGTATGGACCAATTTAGGCAAGAGTCCAAGAACAACCAACCTCTCTCCCAGGTAAGGCAAAACGAACTAAGAGCTTAGCTACGATGGCTTGGGGCCTGGAAGCCTAGTTAGGAAAGAGATGAAACAAACCTTTCATTGTATTTTACTTTTTTGGCTAAGGAGACATCGTGGTGGAAGGGAAATTGCTCATATTCTCTCTCTCTATCTAATGGGAAAATATTTAATAGAGAACCAAAATTGTCTACCCCTACTGCTACCTAGTCTTTATAGCTCACTAGGGGGTTTTTGCCACGTGAAATAATGAAACTATAAAAATTCTGTTAAATTTCCTATTAGACTTTCACTTTATATTTCTGTCTCATTTCATTATGTATTTTAAAAAAAAAACCATAGGAGTAAAATGTTTGGATCAAATATAAATAATTTAATAAAAGTTTTCGAAAAGATAAATGACATAAAAATACCATAATCATTTATCCTTATATAAACTATACTGCATTTTGCTACTTTATTTATCTTGAATTTCTTTGTCCAAATGCAGTGTCTTTGCTTCTTTTTTTTTTTTTCTATTCTCACTCCTTAGCTTCTTTCTTAAATACTACTTAATTTCAATTTCCCATCCTTCCATGATTTCACTTTCCTTTCACAAGTTTTTTTTCATCAACTTGTTTGTGTTAAAATCCCTCAATTGTTTTTTTGTTACATTAAAATTGAATTAAATGTTTAAATGTTAGCTATTAAGATTGTAGTTAGATTGATAAAAAAACGTATGTTATAGTTAGACTCATTAATTTAAAAGATTATTGAATTTAATATAATTTATGAAGAAAATTAGTAAATGGTGAGTGAGTGTGTTATTTTGTTATAAATGGGCTTTTGTACTTTCATGATCGAAGAAGACGCTGTATAATTCTACTCTATAATTATAGTGAAAGTCCAATCACATCTAACTTGCGTAATTTTAATCATTTCACTTAAAAAAAAAGGAATGAATTTCATGGCTGCAATAATTATGGGCCAAAAGCCAATCCAACATACAGGCTAGCATCATGCCTTGAGAACTGGAACTTCTTGTTTTTTTACCTCCACACTTGCTAATTTTGCACAGCACCTTAGATTTGGCAAGGGCCAGAAAGAGGAGGGTGTCGCGCGGGCCCTGCGCTCTCTATTCGGCACACGTGATTCGGCTCCCACTTAAGTACAAATCTGCAATCCGGACCGTGCATCGAAGCGGGTTGGGTTTTAGATGGTCCTGTTGTTCTTGATGAATTTTTTAAACGTTGATGCTGATGGTTGTTGGGGGGTGCGGTCAGCTGAGAGGAGAATCATCTAGCTGCCGCGTGGATTATTAGATTAAATGCATGGGGGCATGCCTTAAAAGGAATATTTATTAAGTAATGAAATCTGAGCCCGACCATTGTTGGCTTCAAGTGAAAGCGGAGTATTTATCTATTTCTCCCTTGAAGAACACATGTCGTGCAAATAATTATAAAAGAATTGGCTGTAAAATAAATTAATAAAAGATGTGACATGTCCATTAAATAAAGAAAAGAAGTAGCTTATGATGAGAGGAAGGGGACTGCACTATCATGAGGAAAATTGGAAAAAGGTGGTGAGGCCTCTTTAGCTTAAGGTTGCAAAAGTTATTTCCCACTCATAAATAATTTATGAGCTTTATGTCCAATTGACTTTTATCTGTTTTGTAATTTCGCTTTCCAAAGTCGCAATGTCATAAAGTAAAAGACGAAATATATTTTAAATTTATAAATAATATTTTTTATTTTTAAATATATTTTTTAAATTAAAAATATCCATTCATAATAAATAATTTCAAAATAAACTAAACTTTTTAATAATGTAAAACTCACGTAAAATATACAAGATTGAGATAAACTCAGATTAAAATAAACTTTTATTTTAATGAGTGATAGAGCTAGTTTAACAGGATCGTTGTACAATTGAATGTAGTAAAGCCTACAGTAAAATCTTAAATAATAAATAAAAATTTTATTTATATGCATATATTTTACATTGAATATACGGACCATGACATCAACCATAAAGTAGCCATTCTTTGTACATGGATTGCCCGGAAATATTGGAATGGGGCCATGCTCACTTGGTGGCAACTAGTGGATCTGTTTGGTTTAATATGGTAAGGATTGGACCACTTTAGATCCAACAGGACAAGCCCAGCTTACTTGATACAGTGCAAGGAAGCTAGAAAAATGGATGTCTTAAGAAAGAAATGGATTGAAAAACACTGCAAACATGTTTTAACAATATTTTCTTTTTCCTTCAAAAGAAATTAAAAGACATGCTTGACAATTCTGCTTAATTTTGGATTATGGTTAATATTAGAAGCCCCAGCTCCTACTAATTTCAATCACAATATTAATATCTTTCTAATTTTAATAAAAATTTGAATAAATATATAGCCTATTACATATCAATCCCATTTACCAAATATAAAGAACTTTTAGGTAAAACTTAAGACATGTAAGTATAACCATATAATTGATATATAAACAATAATAATAATAATCATCAATATTTCATTTTAAGTTTAGCAGGATACAAAAATGGTAGTAGTAATTATTAATATTATTTCCTCCTAAGCTTAATTAATTAATTTATTTAACCCATATTCCGTCTTTCTTTATTTATTCTTTAAACCTCTCTTAAACCCCCGCCTTGGAAGCACTAGGACAGCCAAGAGTTAAGACTCCAACATGCATGAAGAGACTAACTTTAACTGTCTCCCGCTGCGAACCCTCCATCAAAGCCCTGATAACCCAAAACCTCCATCCACAAGCTCTCAGGAGTTCCCTCTCTTATCACTCTCCACTCCTCACAGACCAAATCTACTCTCATTTCATCAAATCAGGCCATTCTCTAAACCCCTTCCTGTGCGCCACTCTCGTCTCTCACTTCTCCAAGCACGCCGACTTCTCACGCGCCCTTTCCTTCTTTCTCGACACCCCAAATCCTGATACGGTCTCTTTCAACTCCCTCATTTCTGGGTTCGCTCGGTCTGGCCGAACCGGACCGGTTTTTGAGTTGTTTAATGGATTGAGGCAATTGGGTTTGAAGCCTGACGTGTTCACGTTGAGTGGTTTAGTTAAAGGATGTGAGAGGTTAGAAGAGAATGAGATTGTTCATGGGGTATGTTTGACATTGGGGTTCGGAAATAGGGCTTTTCTTGTTAGTGGGTTGATTGAGAATTATGCAAAAAGTGGGAACTTGGTTTCAGCTGAGAAGTGTTTCAGGGAGTGTTTGGATGTTGATAATGTTGTTTTTACGGCTATGATTAGTGGGTATTTTTGGAATGGGGAATTTGACAGGGGTAGAGAGGTTTTTGTGGAAATGAGGGATTTGGGGTTTGAATTGAATGAGTTTAGCTTGACAGGTGTGATCAGTGGATTGTTTGATCTGAAAGAAGGGCAACAGATTCATGGGATTGGTGTAAAGTTGGGATTTTTGTTTGGTGGTTCACTTCATTTTAATAATGCTGTCATGGGCATGTATTCTAGGTGTGGAAGTAGAATGGAAGCTGTTAAGATGTTTGATGAAATTACAGATCCAGATATTGTCTCATGGACTGAAAGGATAGGAGCCGCTTTTGATGGTTTGGAAGCTTTTGGATTGTTTTCGAGTTTACAACATAACGGTTTGGGAGTGAATGAGTATACAATTATCAATGTTTTATCTTCTCTTGCAGGAGAGGAGATGTTAAGTTTAGGGAAGCAAATCCAAGCAGTTTGTCAAAAGGAAGGGTTGTTGAAGGTGGTTTGTGTTGGCAATGCATTCATTTCTTTGTATGGTAAATGTGGGGAAATGGATGATGCGAGGTGCATCTTTGATGATATGGTTTCTCAGGATTCTGTTTCTTGGAATTCACTGATTGCTGGGTATTTGGATAATGGATTTGTTAGTCTGGCTTTTGAGATGTTCTCTAATATGCGTGATTTTAATGTAGAAGTGAATTGTTATACTCTTGCTAGCATTCTTGAAGCAGTATCAGACTCAAATTCTTTGCACCTTGGAATGCAGATACATTCATATATGGTTAAATGTGGACTCATGTTTGACAATTATATCATGTCTTGCTTGATAACAACATATGGGAGATGCGGCACCACTGATGAAGCAAGAAGGGTATTTTCTGACATTAATAATATAAGTGTCATGCGCCTTAATGCAATGCTGAGTACTTTGGTCAATGCTAATTGTCATGTTGATAGTCTAGATTTCTTCCGAAACACAGTGGGTTCAATCCTTGAAATAGACAGCAAAACTTTTAGCATCATTCTTAAAGCTTGCAGTGCTATGACAGATCTGGAACAAGGAAGAGGGATTCATTCCCTGGCTCTTAAATCTGGATTTTATCATGATTGCTTTGTTGAGACTGCTGTTATTGACCTCTACTGTAAGTGTGGAAGCATAGGTGACGCAGAGAAGGCCTTTAGATATGCATCTATAGACAACTTGGCTGCATGGAATGCAATGATAACAGGATATGCTCAGCATGGTTGTTATAATGACGCTTTTAAGCTTTATGATAAAATGACTGAATGTGGAATCAAACCAGATGAGATAACTTACCTTGGAATTCTTACTTCATGCTGCCATACAGGGCTAGTGCTAGAAGCACAACATTACATGAACTCTATGGTTGAGTGTCATGGTTTAATCCCACATTTAGAGCATTATGCTTGCATGATTGATCTGCTTGGCCGAGTAGGACTACTAGAAGATGCCAAGAGGACAATAGATCAAATGCCTATTGGACCAGATGCTCGTATATGGCAGATTCTCCTATCAGCATGCAGCATCCATGGAAATGTTGACTTGGGAAGAATTGCAGCGAGCAAACTTCTTGAACTGCAGCCTAATAATGAATCTGCCTATGTTCTTCTTTCAAATCTTTGTGCTTCAGCTGGTATGTGGAATGCTGTGAGAAAATTGAGAAGAGAAATGAAGGAAAAACTACTCTGCAAGGAACCTGGTTCTAGTTGGATTCAAGTAAAAGGATCCATGCATTACTTTTTTGCTGATGACCTGTTGCACCCTGAGCATAAAGAAATATTTTTGGAGCTGACAAAGTTGTATGAACATATGCAAGCTTCACTAATAGTTGAACATGATGGTACTTTTCTATGGGATTTATGACCATCGAAGAGGATTCAATATCATTTATATTGCAACCGAGAATATAGGTGCACTTGGTCTGTGCCTTCCATTTCCTTACCTACGTTAGCACCAATATTCATTCTCTAATCAGGACGGATTATAAAATCCACTTACTCATACAATTTATTGCATTTGACTTAAGCATTCTATTTGAACTCTGGAAGACAAAATAAGTGCTTGTAATAAAGGTGAAAACAACTGAGTTAAAGCTTTTATGGTGTTTATGTTCTCTGCTCCTTTATGGGAAGGCCTTTTCTTTTATCACCTTTGCCAGCTTAAGGATCAGTTCGTGTCAGTTGCATTGTTAAGTGGGAAGGGTTTGAATTTTTTTCCAAAAAAAATAATAATAATAAAGAAAAGAAATTTGATATTTTCTCCAAATGCATCATCTACACCGGTCATGGAATTTGAGTGGACATGTCTCATGTTATCTTTAGGTGTATGCTATGAACTTTTGGTTTCTGGTGACTGAATTCTATTGAACGGAAACTGAGTATTTAACTAAAACCTGACTACAAGCGAGAAAAGATGAAGAAGGACAAGAAGAAAATTTCCTTAAGACATTAATAAGGTAATTGTAATACAATGTTTAATATGATCACGGACTATAAAGTTCTAGGCCTCCCTCAAGTGTGTTTTCCTGTGGGAATCATGGCGCTGTGGAGTGGCTTTAGATAGCACGGAGACAATGGAGTGAAAAGCATTTGCTGCTATTCTGGACTTTATCTGGCCCCTCTTTGGAATAGGTCTTGTGCCCCTGGGACTCCTGCGAACTGCACTGACTGGAATATCTGTCACCTTGTTGTTCATGATTGCAGACAGGGGTATCTTCAACTTCTTTGAGCAGCTCCTACTTTAGATGTTTGATGAATGAGGATTGCAGATGCCTGCTTGAGTTGCTTCGGTTGCTAGTTTATATAGCACGGCGATATCTCATCACAATACCAGGGATGAGGATTGATTAATATGGAAGAGGGAAGAAGTCTACAAGTACACTTTTTCAGATCAGTGGGAATTGGGCGACATGCCAGCCAAGTTGTCACGCTGTAAAAGATTCCTTTCGGCTCAACTTGAGACAGGATTAATTCATGGTATGATTTGGTGACTGGCCGAATTAGTTATCCATAGTTTAATATGCATGATGATTTTGAACAATCACCTACACGTGCGGGTTTCAAAGATATCTAGCAGCCCTGCTGTGAATCTTGGTGCTGGTTTCTGGTATTTTTAAGTGGATAAGTAGAGCTTATATGGGCAAAATGTCGAAGTAATATACAGCTAAGATGCAAATGTTGTGTTTTTAATTCATTTCGACTGACAGATTTGTTTATTTAAATGCAATTTGCCCAGGTTTCATGAAGCATGGAGTGGTATAGGATGTATTATCAATGGTTGTCTATGTCTATTGTTGTGTCATAGCCTACAGGTCAAGTCACCTTGCTGTAATATATGTAGACTTGATTCGGCATCACATGGTCAAGCAGTTGATTCTCCAGGCAGAATTATCATATACGTGAGCAAGGGAGCACAACAATGGCAATGACGAATGTGATGATGTTATTGGCTCATTCACATATCACATCTCCATCTGTTCCTCTTCATCTGTTGGTTTGTTTCTGAATTACCTTGTTCTGGGAAATAAATAAACTAGGATTATATGTTGAAGCTGTTAATTTCTCTGATCCATCCTCTGGGGCGTGACTGATATTATTGTGTAGTGTCCCATTTCACTGATTAAGAAGCCTGGCTTGCCCCCTCCTGTTGAAATTGGAAAAACAAGGTCTCTCTCACTCTCTCTGAAAACCATGTGCAGCTGCATCAATTTTCACAGACAATTTTGAGTTTGTTTAATCAGTAGGCCCCAATGCAATCATTCAGCAATCTTTGGAGTTTGAAAAGGGTGGTCATCTCCATCCATTCTACACGCACCCCGAATATAACACAATTCCAGTGTTCCCCGACAGGATTGCTGTACCAGATTCCATTAAAAAAAAAATAGATGAAGAAAATGTCCTTGGTTGAGTCTATAATGATTCCCCCCTAAAGGCTCTAGGGGAAATCTCTACATCTAATATGGACAAAAGACTTGCTGGCATGCTCCCCTACTCTCAGTGCGTCACCCAATCGGCCCTATGCCCCTATTCCTGTTTCCCAGGTTTATTTACAATGAATTTAGAAATCATTGTTAGTATTTGACTTCATCCAGGAAATGGCTGTAGGCTGTAGCAGCATTACCTTTGTGGAGCGGGTCTGAATGTTGGCTTAGATGTGGTTATAGTATTTACAAAAGATTACAAGGGCAACTTGACTTGTTTACACCCCTAATCATATATGTATAAAATACTTTTTGGTAACTTATAGCCATTTTTAAGAAGTAAAAATCATATAGAAAAAAAAGAAGCAAAAAGTGTTAACCGATCAGAGTTTAAATTTAAAAATAACAGAAAATAGTAATACCATTTTTAGTTTACTATGTAAAATAATAAATCGAATAATTTGATTAAATAAATAAATAAAAATATAAGAAATGGAGTGATACTACTTTTTGTTACGTACATTAACAAATGAAATGATATGATAATAAAAATTATGAAATTAGTAAAATTAATGATGCTTTTAATTATCCTATTATTGCTTTTTATTATGTAGAAATATAATTTAAGTATTTTCATAACAAATAAGAGTAAAAAATAATATATAGTATATAAAATTACAACTTTTGTTATATACACTGAAAAATTAGGTAATTGGAAAAACGGAACGCAGCCTAGAGCTCTCTCGTGGATATTCCTTGATTTCATGCAAAGGTAATTGAAAAAAGAGCATTCCTTTCTTGGTGTCAAAGTTACAAAACTTATGCTTTTATTCCTTGCTCTACCGTGTAATAAATGGCACCAGTCCTACTTTAACTACATGTTTCAATACCTGAATCACATTGCAAATCTCATCTCGTTCGGCCATGGCTGTCGCTGTTAATTTCTCAGCACAAGCCCTGCGACAGAGGACATGTCACAGGGCAAGGGCATGCCTCCCATTTGATCCCTTGCCTTTTCAAAGATCATGTCAACTCGAGTACCAAAAGAGAATGAAGGAACAGCCACATCGCATAGCCATTAAAAGGCAGGAGAAGAATAAAATAACCATCAACCGTGGGGTCTCTTGCATCATGTCATCAAACAATGATAATGATTTAATTTTTGGTCCACCTTCTGCATCTGATACGATCAAGCATTTCTACGTGTGCATCAATGAAAAGGATTTGAAAAAAGTTGGGGACTACATCTCAGAACACTGCTACATCGAGGACTGCTCTTTTTTCAACCCATTTAATGGGAAAAAGGTTACCTCTCTTGGTCTCTATTAACTTGTCTTGATTTGCAACATGTGATTCAAAAGAGTCTGAAACAAAAAGTTACTGCAGGAGGTTATGCATTTCTTCAATCTCCTCACGAGAGGCATGGGTCAGAATGTGAAATTCGTCATTGAACATATTTGTGAAGGAGATGGATTTACAGCAGGAGTAAATTGGCATTTAGGTACCTATCAACTACAGCTTTCTCCGATTAATACCTCCCATTTCCTTTATAAATGGTAACTTGACTTCTTATTAATATTGCAGAATGGAAACAGAGGCAGGTTCCCTTCACCAGAGGATGCAGCTTCTACGAATGCTCAGAAGAAGGGGAAAAAATAGTTATAAAGTACTAGAACTTGTTTAACTTATGTGAGCCATATAAAAAAGAAGGGAGTCCGTTCGAATTGACAAAGACTTTTTGCTTGCGTGCAGGAAAGCTAAAATTGTGATCGAGTCACCTGTCAAACCAGGGGGAATGGCGCTGGTAAATCATTGTAGAGAACTCTTCTGCTTTAACACTTTCATACCTGTTAGCATCAGACAAGATTCAAATCACGTGCTCCTCAATTACTTGTTGCTGATTACTATATCTGTCTCCGTTTAGTCGTATTTGGTTTTCGTAACCATGTTGGTTTTACATGTGGATTGATTCAGGTCCTGTTGAAGAATGTGACAACAATATTTGATGAGTTCCCACGTGCTGCTGAATGTATGCAACAAATTAACTGTCGTTCTACAACTTGAAACATACACACATCTCAAAGCATCATATTGAAATGCCTCTACAATTCTTTTCAATCTTGCAGGGTTCCTAAAGAGTCCACATATCATACTACAATCCGTGCTGAAGATCTACGCTATATTTTTTGCACCTTTCGTAAACCCACTAGTGGCAAGCTACATTAGAGTTTGGGAATTCATGGCTCGGTTGTTAGCCTGTGCAATCAAAATCTTACTCTACATCTCGAGGATTTTATTCAGGTAGTCGACACATACACAGAGTTTCTTATTGTACATGAAAGGCCTTCAGCAATGGCTTCAGAAACACCAGTCAGTTATCATCACCATCACGGCGAGACCATGTTTCCAACAGAGAGAGAGCAACTAATGGTCCAAGAAGAGGTGGCTGCGGTGGAGGCTTGCTGAAGGCAACAATGGGCTCAGTCTGGTCATTACTGACAGACTCTCCTTTCTCAGAATCATTGTTCTCCGATTTCCTTGGTGTTGATGCAGCCACAGTTCCTGGGAACCATTATATGTTAATTTGTTGCCAAGTCAGAGACTGCTTACAAAAATATAACCCTAAATAGAAAAATTAATACGATTTAAGAGGGACATTACCCCGTGATCCAGACATTGGACAGAATCGTTTGAATTTGTATTTTGCAGGTAACAATGCAGTAGTCCCACGCATGTTGAATTTTATGTTAATTGTGCTCTTCTAGGAAAAGAAACAGCTAAACATCAAGAACTAGCAGCCCTGGAAAAACAGAACACACAGCAACCAACATTAAGGAATTACTCAACTTTCCGGTTTGTAAATAAGAATGAAAGTAGCAACTCATTTCAGTCCCAGATTGATTTATTTGTGGCCGAGGCATTGTTCAGTCGCACAATCTTCCACAAAATTAAGGTCCCACTCCCAAATATAAACCAACCCCAATTCCCCAATCCCCAACCAGAATACATTATTTAGGAGAATTAATATATGAAAGCAACAGAGTATGAAAAAATGGAAAAGCAGACTTTAGGCAGCAATAATGTCAATGGCCAATATATTATCTCCAAAAACCAATCACAGCCATCTTTGACATCAACCAGACAACCAAAAGGGGTTCAAGGTTTTCCTACTTTTGCCAAGGTGAAATTTTCATACATCCAGAGAGAGCATGAAAACCCAAGAAACTGCTGACATCAGAGCAGTAAACCGACACAGCAAAAATCTCTTATGATCAGGCTGCAAAAGCTGGCATATGCATTCTGTTTCACCACTACAAACATTAACATTTCAATATGATAAACTACATAAAGAATTTAAGGAAAACAAAACGGTTATAGTAATGATCTGTAAAAAAAGCTTGATTAACGTACCTGCAAAAGTGTTTGGTTCCCTCTGCAGCAAGCGACAGACTTAAAGAAGCCAACAACGTTGTTGAGTTTCCGTGGTCCAGGCAATGAGGAGAAAAACTGAAGAGGAAGGATCGACGTGTCCAGAATTTTCCCGGTTATTTGGTTTCCCATGCTTACGTGTATTAATCTGAACCTTTGAATGCTTGGTTCCATGTTCTGGGCCGTTTGATCGGTTCTGAAAGATGATGCGTTTTATGGAATAAGCGCATTAACACTTGTAACTACAAACGTCATCGTTTTAGCAGATAGCGGTTGAATATAAGATAAAATCACAAGTAGCTCCAGAGAACACATATACAATTAAAATGTAATTAAATTTAATATAGTTATTTATACTATACAGGATATTAATATACTAGTAGTTATTAATAGTCAAATTATCTTGGATATCTTGCTACGCTATTGATATTTATTTAATACGGTGGCTGATGTTGATGAGTTTTTATATTCTGTTTTGGTACGCCGTTTGATGTTACTAGTTTTATGTTTTGAGTATGGTTTAAGTTTGATTTTGATATTAATTTATTTTTTATTTTTTTTAATTTTACAAAGTGTTCAAATCATTTTTTTATTGGGATATTGATAAACTTGTTTTTGATCTGTCTAGTTTTAATTTAAATATGATTTTATATTAATTTTTTAATATATAGTTCATTTGATGAAAAAAGAAAAGTCAAATGAACTTGATTTAAAATTTGTTATACTTTTCATAAAAGATTTTTTTTAAAAGGTTAGGAAAGAGAAAATAAAAAAGAAAAAGCAATTTTCAAATTCAAATCGAATTTAGATTAAAAGAAAAAAGAAAGAACCTGTGGTAATTAATGGCAATATCCATATGTCCCTAATCATTGAAGAGATGTCAAATGCAGACAGACAAATTTCATGTGCTCCTTGGAACACAGTACTATTAAAACTGAGATTCACGCCATTATCCAACAGTAGGTGCTGAAATAAAAGAACTACTCATTGATTGAAGTGAGCTAGGTAGCTGATATAACTCAAGGCATTGGATTGGAATCTCTTAAATTAATCGATGGACATGAACAAAGAATCCACATTTTCCTAATTTCTATATGTCCCCAGTTTTTTTTTTTTCTTTCTTCAACATCCATTAGGAATACGTAGTTGTCAAACTTTGTTCATGCACCATCTTTGTGATCAATACTCGTTTAGGTTTTGTCTTGCAAGATGTTACCCTAATCTAATTCAGTTACAAGTCCATTGCTCTTTTGGTGTATAGATGATAAGAATCTTCAGGGATGGTGGCATATCTTTATTGAAATGGATCAAAATGTAAAAGCGAAATAAATATGGATAAATAATAAATAAAATAGATTATTCCTAACTACAGATATTTTTCCTTTTTAGATACAGTTATGCAAACAATGAACAAGTACAAATAGAATTCAATCGAAAAAGAATTGTTTATGGAATATTTTGGGACAGTTTAGTTCTTCTCTTGATCTCTTTCTCCAATTCCTCCATGCCTCCCACTTCTTCCAATTCCTGCATATATATATATATATATATTCAATCAGCTTGTTGTTTATTTTGCTATCTATTTCTCGGGTTTGAAATGGATAAAAGGCTTGCCTGAGGTCCCAAAAACAACCCATATGGCACTCCCTGAAATTTGTCAGCATGATGAAGCTGGTAGATTGGAAAAAGAAAACAAGGAAGAGCATGTTGTGTTAGTAGTAAGATTAATTAATTTAAGAAGAAAGTGTTGTTAGTATGTGGACAAGTGTCCACTTACTTGGTGGGCTGCAGCTACTTTCCGTAGATAAGGAACATGAGCAATTGGCCCAACTGGAAATCGACGGTGGACAAGACCATCATGGACGAACATGTAGGCCATACCGAAAACCGTGATCCCTAAGCCCTGTGAAAATGAAAAGTGGAATTTGACCACATGTAGATAGCCGATAACTTGACGTAATTAATGAAAGGGAAATGTGACGCCAAATATGTTTTGGAGCGAGTAGAAAACGAAGGGGAAAAGAACATTGTTTAACATTAGAGGGGAGAAAGAAGAGCAACTCACGGCGCCAAAACAGAGTCCCGGGAAGAGACCTCTGTTTAAGAAACCGTAGAGGAGCAGAGCAATGGCAGGGGCTGCGTTGATTATTGCGAACACGTCGTTGAGCTCAAAGGGTCCCTCTCGTGGTCTGTGATGAGACTGCAAACATTCATAACCAAAACAAAATAACTCGTGGTGATTTAAACGTCAAAGCAACAAACAAAAGAATCCAGTCGTAATATGCAAGTGGCAAATTCTTAGTTAATAAAGGTGTTGGAATGGAATTAGGAGTCTGTAATTTGACCTCGTGCATGTGCCACAATGAAGCATGCCATAGAGCTCGATGAGCCCACCTTGCCCAAAATTCCATCCCCACCTGAAAATTCAAGCATACCCGAAAAAACAAACCCATTAACCTTTTATTAGTGATTCAATAAGGGGAAGCTATAAGGATTGGGTACGTACAGCAGCACCAACTGAGAGAGCAAATGTACCAGCCAACTCCAGCAGTGGAACTTCTCCACCCTATGATCAAAAACCAAAGTTAAGACCTAAAAAATTGTAAAAAGATAAAATAAGTGTAAATTAACAAAAAATAGCTGTGTGTATCAACCGACTAAACCCAGAAGGAAAGAAAACGGAAAAGGAAAATACATTAGAGTTGAGTTGTTACCTCCATTTGCCATGAAAACCTGTAATAAACAGCCATAACTGCCATGGCAGAGATGCCTAAACTAGACAACGTAGCGGCAACTAGGTAAGTGGTTCTCTCCAATTTCTTCCTAGCTAATCTCTCCTCGACCCTGGAAAGGGTGACGTGATTGTAACCTTTCATGCTATCAGAAATTTTCTCAGTATCGCTCTTTTCTATAACCTCGTTTTCGTTCTCATTTCTTGTCTGCTGCACCACCATGAAAATATTCAAGCCGTTCTTTTTCCTCAAAATATGACTACCCTTTCTCTGCAACATTGTATCTCGAGCCAAGCCCGATAAGCCAACAGCAAGCGAGTTGGGTTTTGTCGTTAAAGCAGTGTTACGTCCGAACTGGTAGATTACAGTGCTTGAGGCAGCCAGCAAGCTTCCTGCCGCCATGGATACTCGTACCTCAAAAAAGGCTGATACAAATTTGATGTGAATGTATATGTTGACCAAAAACAAGAAAATAAGTCTTTAAACAATGGAAGAGTTTCGGGTTTTGGTAAGAGCTTTGGAGAAGTTGAGAATTCTCCAAGCCAAAGGCCGAATTATGGGGAGGGAGAAGAGGAGCACGTTTTGACTTTTAAGGTTCGGTTGAAATGCGGCTTGGGAAGTTGAATTTACTGGGTTGCCCTTGTGGTTTTGGGACCACATTCTGTCCAATGGTAGAACATGGCTAGTCGATGGCCCATGGCCGACCTTAGGAAGTTGGAAATAGGCGTAGCTCTTTTTTTTGGTTCCCTTAATTGAATTCCTAACCTATGTGCTTCAATCGTCAATGACACACTTCAAAGTATACACAAGTGTTTGAGAGGAGCCAGAGAGATCCCTAATCACAATTCAATTATACATATAATTTATTTATTAATTTTAATTTTTTTATACATGCACAAATCATAATAATAAATATATTGAAAAATTATTCTAATTGTTTAAATAAAAATTAAATATAATACTCAAATAAGCTCTTAAATTATTAAAAAAATTAAATAAATTTTTATTTTTTATTATATTTAATTAAATCTTTGTATTTTTATTTTAAATTAAATAAGTATTTATGATTAATAATTTATCAATTGTCGTTAGCCAAAATACTTCTTGTCACTTTGTATCTACATAATGCTTACATGACATTGACAAAAAGGTGAAAAATGTCACATGGATATATTATCATATCAAATTAATATGTCACTTCATCATTAATTATGATATTTAGCATGTATGTATGTCAGCATCATGTAGTATAGAATAATAAATAACATTTTTACTAAGTCAATAGTTAGTTATACATAAGAGCTTATTTGATTTAAAATAAAAATATAAAGATTTATTTAGTTTAAAATAAAATTATAAGTGTTTAATTGAACATAATAAAAATATAAAAATTTATTTTAAATTTTTAAAATAATTTAGAGACTTTTTTTAGATATAATACCTATAAATTAACCATTACATAATAAGTTTAGTGTGAAATTGTAACAAGTGTTTTAGGCATGCATAGAGGCTAGTCATTAGTAGTTAATGAAAGCGAAGAAGTTGCTAGTTGTTCTTACCAATTTCTTGTTAACGTGCGGAATGGTCCTCTCCTTTATATTTTACTCTTATCTCGTTTCCAATTTCTAATTAATATATAAACCGATGTAAAGAGTCAAAGTTGTATCTAAGTTTGAAAGAAAGTCAGCTCTCGTTTAAGAAATAATTGTTGGAATTGCTTTTGCATTTTCCTTTTACATGCTTTAATTTGCCACATTAAGATAGTTTTTTGTATCATTTCAAGATTAACATGATGATTTTGTTACGAAGTGATCTTATTACTATGGTAATGTCATTACTAGTGATTTAAAATCACCATATTTGATATAATTTTACTTGGTAATCATTAATATCGAGATTTAGAAATCACCATATTTGATATCAAATAAAAATCAGACATCGTTTTGAATAAAATATCAAAATAATCTAAAGTTAAATAAACTAACAATGTTAATATTCTATTAACACTCGAATTTATGAAAAAAAACAATACTTTTGAAATTAAATTAATTATCATTGAAAAGAAAAATGATTTTATTTTATCAAAATAATTATGAAATTTGCTACCAAAACAAAGAAAATATACATAACCAAATAAAAAAAAGGTGGAGAGAAATATGTAAATGTTTTTTGAGTTGGCTATGAAGAATTTTTTTTTAAAAAAAATAAAAATTTACCATGTAAAAATTATTTTTACTTTTTGGAAGGAAATAATTCTTTTACTCACACATTAAAAGGGTAAACTTCCCTATAATTGATTTTACATATCATTAATACCGGTGAAAAATTTTTTCACCTTTTTGGATGAGAATTAAAAAGAGATAATCTAATCTGCGTTAATAATTTAAAATTACTGTCACGTAAAAACATGAAAATTTACCAAACACGAATCACTGTAAATTTTAAAGTAATCCACCACCTTATAGAATTATTCACTTCAATAGGTTTGGCTCGCCTAGCACACGTACAATAATGGTTATGGGTGTGTGCTTAAAGCTTAAAAGAATCCATTTTCTGTACCTAATTGCAATTATTAGTTATCATTTACTATGATGGCATACTTAATTTTTACATTTCTTTAATTGTCAGTTTTAATATAAGCAATCATTTTTTATTTTCTCATGAATTTATTCTGAATTTGTAACTTTATCATATTTGCTTAAAGTAATCAAGTAACTAAAAAATAATGTTAATCAAACTAATAATTATTAACACACATAAATATATATAAAAGAAAAATATTTTCTTTCTTAGAAATTTTATTTTATATGTCGGCAGTTAATTTTTTTTTTTTAACTTCGCAAGTGAATTTAAACGATTACCACATATTTATTTAACAATTAAATAATGAATTATTTTTAATAAACTTAAACTTCATTGTCAAAACTAGGCCCATAAGTGCATACAATGCCCAACGTAGCAAGCATTGATCCTCTATGTTTTGGGCCTGATTTTCGTGCCAATGTTCCATTGCAGATGCACTTCCCGATTCTCTATCTCTTAACAAGCTAATTAATTAAGATACTAATCTAATTCATATAATAATAACATAAACATATGATATTTGCACATATAGTTAATATTATAGTCAAAAAATAAGTATTTTTCTATAAATCTAACTCTAGAGATATATTTTTGGGGAGTTCGAACCTTGTGTTAGCCCCAAAGGGAAGAACTCAAAGTGTAATTATTTTGGTCATTATTAAAAATAACAAAATACCATTTAATTAAATCGGATGGAAATTGATTGTTGCAGGTGAAGTCGACAAACAGATTTTGCTTCTTCCTCGTTGTTTGCTTGCTGCTCTTCACAACTTGGGGTATACTATGTTGAGTTGTACTCCAAGCAAAAGCAACACATGATTTCATCTAGATTAATTATTGAGTGAAGAGGGATCAGTTTTGAAACCACAAAGCATTCGTTCTTTCATTTTCTTTTATTGATTCATCCACTGATCAATCACTCCTCAAATCACGAAAGGAGACTGTTCAGGTTTTGGGTTTTCGTTTTTTATTTTTTTGTTTTGGGGGTGGGGTGAGCGGCAATCCCTATGTAGGTCCATTGAGACTGTTGGTAGGATATGATCTTTTACTTTCACATAGCATGCATGTCTAGTAAAGAGTTTACAAACAGAGGTCTCAAAGTGTGATCCCTCGTCACCTCTGTTCTCTTTTTCAGATAATCTAAGTAGCTTCGTCATCGAGTATATCTCTACCAGTTCACCCTTATGCCTTATCTTAATTCTCCCATTATCTAAAAGTTCAGCATCTATTTCCTAGTTGGTCATCATTCACAAAACAAACTGTGTAATGGGAAGGAGAGCTGATTGATGAGGACTACTGCAAGTACAAGCTGCACAAGGAACGTAATTTGACACGCATGGATTAAGAGAAGAGCGACTAGTAATGTTTATTTTTGGATGGAGATTAAAGCAAAGCTGCAGAGGAAGTACAAGGAAGGAGCCAAACTCAAAACTGAGAACTCAACTCATTGGCAGGCGTGATTAAATCTGGGACTAGCTTAGCCATATTAAAACCTCTTTCCCAGCTCAGCGGGCAGGCCTGAAATATACCGATTAGCGATTATTGTACTATTAGCCCTTAACTTGAGGCCGCAAGCAGAGAGGCAACCATCAAATCTTGCTTCTGATTTGAATTGAGCCAGTACTGTCAAGCCACCTTGCCGCAGTAGATATTTTTTGTCTGTTCGATATTCCAGCTTTTATGCTCATTTCCCTTATTGCCAAACTGATGAAACTGAAAAATTCCTCTTGTATGTCTAAACTCTCAATCATTATTGCCTAAGATCGGTAACAAAAAAGTGCTTGAGGTCATTATCAGTAACACCAGGAATGTTCTGGATTTATGCTTGTTCATTTTTAATTTCTTATTAACATATACAAATATGACAGGAGAGAAATAATATTGGCTTATTATTATTATTGCCAACCAAAGAACATGACTTATGACGAAATCTTTGGTTGTCTTCTCGTCCAAGGTTTTTGATACCTTAAAAGGAGAAAGCTTTATTATTATTAATAATAAAACTGGTACTCGTATTATTCTAAAGTGCTTGAAATATCAATTGAAAAAATGCATGCAATTATGGGGGGTGATATCAGAAAAGCTTAGCTGAAAAAGGATATTTATCATTTCAAGTAAGAGCGTATATGTATTTCAGACAGAATTGCTATTCAAGGCCATTTCATTTTTAGGTTAAGCCCCTGTGCGGAGCTTTTCGATGTCATCAAGATTCAGTGGTTGACATTTAGATATCTTTTAAGGGCCACAGACATCATATAATTTGTTCCATCACCAGCTGCAAAAGGGTTCAAAGGTATGGGCAACAGATAATATCTGACTAGTCTGCGACAAACTGATGACCTACTTCAGCGTCTGTCACTTTCAAAAATAGGATAGTCTTAATGGTGCAAACATTACTAGAAATGTTATAGTTTTTACAAGGAAACCTTTTCGTTAAGCACGGGCTCAAATAGTATTCTAAGTCTGATCAGAATAGGAAATGATCTCAGAATCAAATTTATAATATGTGGCTATCTTTATCTAGGCGACTGTACGTTAACCATTAGCTGAAAGCTGGATACCTTTGGCCTACAATTGCTCCCTTCCTACCGAACCTTACCATCTGATTTAAATTAGCTTAGTTCCTTCTTCCTACTTTTTTCTGAGGAATACAAGTCATTAATGGGCCCAATTGCAACACTCCATACATATAGCACCAATCAAATTATCATTCCCCTTTATGTATGTTCTGTTAAAGTCACCCATTATCTTGATTTAACCCCATTTAGACACCCTTTGAGCTCTTCATAATGTGCTTTATGCTGAAGCCAGATAAACGTGCCATGAATTCATGATTGATGACATATTTATCTTAGATTACAGTAAAATCCCCAATGCAAACATTTACTTTGTTTTTATAGTGAGGTATCATCACCTTAGTACGCCGACTTTGATTGCTTGATTAGACCCTGTAAGTTGCA